ATATTAGATTACCTGAATTACACGAAAGTTTGCGCTTGCATGGAAGGTGTTACAGAACTTCGAAAAAAGGAGGTAAGGTGTGGCCTTGAGAGGGACAAATTTATGGTGAACTTGTGACAGAAAGACACATCAAATTGTGGGCCTTTCGAATCCCCTTTTAAATGAGCTGAGATTTATGGAATTGAATTTATGGCAATTAAGCTATTGATTCAATTATGATTTACAATTTAGGGTTTTAATAATAATAATGACAATGGGCTTTAATTAATGTTTATGAGGGCGGTTTTCAATTGTTTCTGATTTATGGGAAAGTTAAAGATTTAAAAGCAATAAGTGTATGATTTACAATCAATTAAGAATATATGTATAGTCTGTGTGAGTTATATTCCAAGAGCTATACATTTTTCCAGACACTTCTATTTGGGTCAGGCTTATAAAGTTATATGACAATTGCAGCTGGCCACCCATAAAAACCATAAACTAAAAGTCTTTCACTCGCTTAAGATTTTCTCGTCACGTAATAAAATATTTATGCCTGTGTTCGCAGCTTAAATCAAACCAAACGTGATCACTGATCGTAATTGAGTTCTAACTGTAAAGATATCCCCGCATACATGAAAACCTTGACCCCAAAATAAATTCATGGGCCGAGGAGCAATGATGCATTTCCATGAATTACAATGAATTCTTCGTCAAGCTCCTCATCAAAATCAATCACAAAGTCGGCATCTCATCACATATGTCTTTGGTTATGTAGTTTACTAAAATGACAGAAAGAGACGGGATAATGTAACAAAAAAAGAGAGGGGACGAGTTCTGGTTGAGCAAACAAAGAAGAACTGCGAATGCATTCAACAGATACAAAGATACATATCATTGTGCCACCGACAAACCGTTTTCTGTCAGATTAACTAACAAACTGCTGTCGTCGCTCCCCAAAACTCCCTTTTTCCTCCCGTCGCACCCAAAATACTATACATATTTGTAGTATAAACCCTGGGTGTGTGTGGCACTGTGTGTACTGCGAGTGTGTGTGGCATGATTTATAAAGTGACGAAGCCGCTAAAAGATTTCGCGGCATTCCAAGAATCTCCATAGCAGCATGTGTGGCACAAAAGAAACGTATTTGAACTAAAGCTGGAGTGGGAAATTAAAAAAAAAAAGGAAAGAGGGCATCTTCGGATGCACTGTATGTACATATGTATGTACATTATCTGGATGGTCTAATAAAGTCATTGAAACTCCGAATTGCCAAGAAAAATAAACGAGAAGCGCAACATTGCCAATTAGTTGCTAGAATTTATATTGCTTTCCTCTCCTTTGGGAGAAGGAAAATAATTTCTTGAAATTTATTTTCGAGTCTGCTATAAATTATGGGAAGCTGGCTTAAAAAGTCCACCAAATAGAAAGACCAAAAGCCAGGCAATCTGGAGACAATAAGAGACACGAGTTGTGTAATGGAAAATGTCTAAAGAATAAGTCTTTAGCTTCCAGCGCCTTCAGAGATACTATATAGAGGAAAAGTCAAGTATTTTTTATATATACTTCCCAAGATATTAGAGGGATGGTAAGATCGAAGGGAGGGCTTGAGAAAAACTAATGAATGCCCCTGGCAAGAAGGAAAACATCAACAGCATAAAGTGAAAAAGGAAAATCCCTGGGAAAGACACAAGAGAGCTAAAATGAAATTGCACTGCCAATAACAGGACGACAAAAAGAGGAAAATATGTATGAAATGTGAGTGGAAATTAGCTGAAAAATGTCACCAACATCCCGCAGCCAACATCCAATGGCCAAGAGAAATAGCTAGAAAGTAATCAAGAAATTTCTAATACAAGAGTAATTGCGAAACAAAGATAATAAAACTGAAATATTTGTCAGAATAAAAAATTGGTTGAAAAAATCAAACAATAAGAATTAAGTGCTTTTCTGAAATAAATTGAATAGTTTTCGCTTTCCCCACAGAGCTCCTACTGATAGAAAAGTATTACCACTTTTGTGGGCTTTTTATTGCTTTCCCCTACCATGCTTCAAGCTTCAAGGTCGTTGCAACCCCACTGCGACAACCTTCAACCACATCGGTGGGCGGCAAAACGATAAACTCTTGCTGTGTGCAAGTATGTGGCTTCAGTTGTCGCTTCTTAACCGTTTTTGACGTTTCGCCGTTCAAAGGCTAAGCCCACTCTAGGTTGCTTTTCACTTTCCTAAAGATCTGGCAAGCGGTAGAAGCCAGTAAAGTCGAAGGAAGCCAGCAGTGACAGGATGAAAAAAACGCCACAAACTTTTGGCATGTATAGAACTACACCCACAAAAGATGGCTAAAAGCTTGCAAACAAAAAACTGCAACAACAGAACCTGGAAAAGCTGGGAAAACAAGTGATTGGTGTCTGTGTGGGGTGGTGTCTGTTTGTGACAGTTTTTCGGGGGGAAAATGGCAAGACTATATAGGATACAGGACCTGGTATATCAAGTGGGTGTAAGTGCAAATGAGGGATGTGCATTAGAGTTGGGGGGAGAAAAGTTCAGAAAGAAATGCTAGATGGAAAAGTAGGGCATCAAAAAAACAAGAGATAGAACCATCAAGCCTAAGCTGAAATGCAAAAATAAAGAATTCGAATTAAAGATTGAAAAGATTTAAAATCTGATTGAATAATCAACCAGCCAACGAATAAATAATTTTAATTTGTAAACAACCTCATTTTATTCAGAGTTAATTGGAAATGTTAATTAAGAATCATTCAAAGCTGATTATAGAATGCATATAAGCCAAAATAATATTTAATTGTGAGGCAGAGAGAAGGATAAACGGCGTAATTGCAGCCAGTACGTGGCATGTTAACACGTCTGGGAAATGCTTTTTGCAGCAAAAGGTAAGGAAGGATGTCAGGATGGGCGACAGGAAAAGGAGCATACATCCTGCCGAGTAGCCGGCGTCATCCGCAGACATGTGTTAATTGTATTGTTCAGCATAAAAGTGGGGGGAGTGGGCGGGGGCCTTGTTATTTTGATGGCTCTGTGCCAATTCCCCTGGCGCCACCCCACTTCCGCTACCCACCTACCCAGCCTCCCACCTCCCACTTTGTTGTTCAACTTTTGTTTTTTGTGCCTCGTTTTACACGCAGTGGCTCTTTGTTTTTGCCCATTTTGTAATTATTGTTGTTTTTAGCCAAGTGTTTACTTAGTTGTTAACAATATTTCGAGTGCATTTCTCGTTTTCCAGAAGCACACGCACTTACTGACAATTGTCCACACACTTTCCAGGCCTCTACACGAAATTCAAATTCAAATTTGTGATTAAGTGGGAAATTATGCTGTAATATTCATTAAGTTCAACTGATTGAACAAATTATATAGACAGCATAAAAAAATATAAATTCAAATTCACTCATGGGTTGAATTAAATTTATTCAATTTTGTGCAGATGTTAGTCAGTAGAATTTATTAGATTTTAATGTACTGGCAATAACATACATTATATATTTCAGAACCAGATATATTCTAGAAACTATCTTAAGGTTTAAGATAATATATATCCCATAGCTACCAACCTCTAAAACATCTTTAGAAGTTCAAGAACTATTTCTACTCAAAGAAGCCGATCAAACCCACCTTTGTTAGGTTTATTTTATGATCCAAGGCCTCTTCACTATGTACTTACACCGACACCAATTTCTGGAGGACATAAACAACATCGAAGCTATTTTCAATGACAAGTTAACTAACTAAACTCCATTTACCTGCTACAAAGACAGAATGCTTGGCCAATAAATAAATAAATAAAAGACACTTCAAGTTACAAACTAAACCGACAAAGGCAGACAGTACCGACTACTTTCCTTGACCAAAATTATTTACTTTCAGACCAATTTAATTGGTCCTTTTTTTAAGGTAATTACACCAATGTATCTACTTGCCTGGGGAGGAGTGGCAGGGAAATAGCATTGACCTGAGGGTCGCGGGATCAAAGGGAGCCATGAAAATGCAATTAAAACCAGACCAACTGCCAGTAACCCAACTCTAAGCAAACAGAATGCTATGGCATCCAAAATTTGCAAATCAAATGCAACAGACAGTTTTTATTTTTGTTTTTTTATTTTATGTGATTTTGTGTTTTATTTTCATTATGCTGGTTGCAATTAGTCAGCCGCACTGGTGAATGGCGAATGGTCAGCCAGAAAAGACCAACACTAACCGAACACCCCCCTGAAATTCTGCACATTGTGTAAATATTTGACAAGAGCCCAGAACACCGAATAAAGCAACATGTCTGTCCGCCCTGGACTCTGGCTGTGCTTTTGCTGGTAAATGTGCTTTGCTTTGCCAGGCTTTGCTTTTGTTGTTAGCCAAAATGCAAACGGCATTAGCCATGGTCAGTGCGCTACGCCGCTCGTGAATACACAGGGGGAAATTGGTTCTTATTTAAAGGACATTTTTTAAATATATTTGAATAGATAGAGGCTATGATTTTGAGAAAAGGTTTCCTATCCAAAGCAAATAGTCATATTATATACCTATGTACTAGAGACATTAAATATGTATTTTTTGTAAGTGCTGTTTAAATTTTAAAATTTCCATCACAATCTCCTTCCGCAAAAAAAATCACTGTTTAATTTAAAAATTATACTCTTTTCGCTGAGTACCCTTTGACATCTATATGTTTACCTATGGATTTACCGGATCAGCAACCGCCAACATCAAAAATCGCAATCAAAAGTGAAACCGAAGCCCCAAATACCGGGCAGGCCCCAAAAATCTGTTGGTCATTTTGTGGCAAGAGTTTGGTATTCGACCCGTTCTGTTCTGTTTATTCAACGGTGGCTGGTGTCTCTTATCAGTGGCCGACAATCCCCGACTGGTATGGAGCAATGCCAGAGCAACAACAATGGCTAATGACATCATGGACTCAGTCTCAGGGAGTCCGAGAATCTGCCTTATCACATAGTCAGTGGCTCGTCGCTATTTCTGAACAATGAGCGCAATGCCAAGCCTTGATGACTTACCTCAGATTCAGTGTTATAATGCGAAGGGGGAACGCGTTTCTGATTAGGGGGGTGTTCCTGTTCTTCTCACGCAACGCCTGGAGCTCTTTCTGGTGTTTCTGTTGCTGCAAATGATGATCGTGCTGGATTTTGTTCCACTGCTCGTTGGAGAAGGCCTCCTCGGACTCCGAATCAGAATCCTCATTGAAATCATCCTCATTCAAGTCATTCTTATCTTGCAGATTGGCATCTAATAGGGTTAATTCTTGTTTCTCTGGTCGCTGGGTTGTTGTCGAAGTGGTGGTCGTTGTTGTGGTTTTGGGTGCTGCTGTGGTATGTGGCTTCTTGGTCACGTCCTTCTCCCTGTCCTGCTTGAACAGCCAATCGAGAATGTGCCTCTTTTCGGAGGGCTTATCGTGGGGATTCGCCACACTTGGATGTCTGTTACTGTTCCGATTTCTATTCCGATTTTCCGCTACTTCCAGTTCATCCGACTGATCGTACTCGGTCTCTTTGTTCTCTATGGTGCGCCGAAGCTTTTCAGTAAAAAGCGAGTATCTGGGCATTTGCCGGGCCAGCTCTTCATCCACGGCATTCGAGCTGGATTCATCATTATAGTCGTACTCATCCTCGTCCTCATCATCGTCCTCCTCATCAGACTCCTCGTCGGAGCTACTTGTGTCCAATTCCTGCCGCCAGTTGGGACCTCTGGTGGTGTGGTATTCAGCCCACGGGGGATTCATGCCATCGCGATCGAAGTAGCGGGTGTGATTCATTATCAGTCCCCGGTGCGAAGTAGTCGGTGAGTCTGTGGTGAAAACTGTCCTGGGCGTGGAGGTTCCAAGGAAGGACATGCGATGTGGCTGGTGGCGCAGGGCCGGGAAAACCCTCTGCTCCCAGCTCTTGTGGTGGTGATTATGGTGACGCAAGTGATGCTGTTGCATGGGAAGCTGCGACTCGAAGGTTTTCTCGAAGGCGGTGAGATCCCCCTCGGACCCGCCCATGGGCGGTGGCGGCTGATGATTCCCGTTCCCCTCCAACTCGGCCCTCAAATGCTGCTCGTGCCGCAAATGATGATGCCGCTTCTGCTGGTGCTGCTGGGCTGCCTCCAGTTGGTGCAACCGCTGTTGCTGATGCGAAATCCGGTGGGGAGGCGCCACCGTCGATACCCTTTGATCACTGGTATTAGCCCCACCGAGGGGCATCACCATCAGCAATAGCCATAACATTTTGGCGCTCAACGAAGGCATCGCCGTTTTTGTTGTTTATTTGTTTTAATATTATGTTTTCTTTGTTTTTATATTTTATTCCACACTTTTCTTTGTTTTTTCTTTGCCCAGCAAGTGCGATTCTTTTTAAAGCATTTTTTCTTTTGTTTGGCTATTAGGCTATTAATTATGGCTTTTAATGCTGTGACACTTGCTGACGAGAACTTGAGATTTTGCTTTTTGTTCGGAAAGGAATGCCAATTATTCACTTGGCTGTTAATCGTTAAAATTTTATTTGTGACACAAATGGTTTTATTATTTCTTAATACCTTTCTGTTTCTCTTTGTTTATTTATATTTTTTCACACTTTTCATTTGATGGAATATTTGCAAATTCATTCATGAAATTTATATCTTTTAGTTTTGCACTTTAATTCAATTTTAATTGGATTTGTATTAATTTTGTGACTTTAAACGCCCTCAACTCGCACACCAACTCAACTCAAACAAACACCCACAACTTCACTCACGCACATCCGATTTTCTATATATCTGGGTTTTATATCAGCAGCGTGTCGGCTGGTTTGTGCAACGATTTGTTTGTTTTGATACACTGGGCCAGATGGCAGAACTCCATAGATGGGTTGGCTAAATGCTTTTCACTTAGGTATTCTCTCACGGATTATGCACGGATCCGATTTTCCAACAAGACCCGACGACTTACAGATAACGACTGTATCTCGTATGAATTGGATTGGATTCTGAGGCAGATGCGCCCGGTGCCAAAATGTTGAGATACACTACCTATTACACTATAAACCAATGTTGCGATCCACACTGGCGGCCAGTCAACACGCAAGAGAGCTGTCAACATGTTGCAAGCAACTTTGGTACTGGAGCGGCAAGAAAAAATAGATAATTCATATCTATTAGCCGGGCCGATCTGGCTGGCTGGTGATTCGTTAGTCTAACCCGTTCTCTGGTTAAGTTAGCCAAGTTAAAACGAGGGAATTTCATTTAAGCCTGGACATTGTGCATGTTGCTTCATAAAATATAATGTCAACAATCTCCCACACAGTCTCTTTAGAAGCGCAGCATCCTCGGAAAATTATGCACTTTGAGAAAGTTTTCGTTAAAATAATTTAATTTAGTATTTTAACATAAGGATAATTATTGTTACTGGTATTTAAGTAATTAATAAACCACTCTTTTTAAGGATTAGCTTCTATTTTAATATACCTAAAATTAAATAATAGTTTTAATTGTTCAATTCATTGTCTAAGCACCATTTTTTAAAACCTTGTAACTATTTCCAAGTTAATTTTCTTATTACTTTAATATTTTAATTTGATTATTCTTAATATTTTCCATCTGTAGAGCAATCATCTTCATCTAAAATCAACAGCTCCAGTCATACGCCCATGTCTGCTAACTTTTCTGCCGTCTGAGAAGTTCTTTTCAAGTTTTCTGACTCTCAAGATTTTTTTGCGTTGGCCGTTGGGTTTTTTATTCAGGCTGTGTGGGCTGCTGCACAGGCTTTCATTACATAATAACAATAATGAGATTGTATTTTTTTTATTCCGCCTTCTACCAAGTGTGATTTCCTGGGAATCCACAAAAACGTAACATCCTTGTGGTGGGGGACAATGGCACAGCAAGTAAAACCAATTTTCCAACTAATTGCCATTAAACGAAATGTTTATAAAAAAAATGTATAAGAAAAGGTTTCCACTGGGATGAGTCACCGAGGCAAAGTTCTTAGCATGATCATAAAAAATAAGACTGATCGATGATAAAAGGCGGAAAACAAAGGGCCAGCAAGAAGGGTTGCAACCTCAAATGAAGTTCTTAAGTCTTCGACATTTTACGAATGTCTTGGGGAGCTGGAAAAATTGATTTTCCCATTTTTGTATAGCTAAGCGTGCAAATAGGATTTGTCTGGCGATCAAATAAAAAATTCTACTTTTCCCACTAAATCACAGATGCTAAGATATCTGATTATGGGGAATTATGTTATATATCTTTGATAGTCAATGGTTAGTGGAAGTTCTTATAGAGAATCTTTAAGTTATACCTCCTTTCCTTTTGATCTTTAAATGCCTTTCTTTCCCTTTTTAGGTTTCTTGTAATGGCCTTTCTTGTTTGTCTTGTTGTAAGCTCCAAGGCAAACAAGTTTCGTTTTCTATTGCTGGAGGATTGTAAAGATTGTTATATCATTGTTGTTACTTTGTACATATTGTATCTGCATCTATGTGTGTGTTTTGTTGACTTTTCGGGCTGGAAGGGGGAGAGTCGGTAGGTGATAAGCTATAAAGCTACAGGCGTCGCTCATAAAACTTGTATTATGTGTGGAATTTGACGCTCAATTTAAGATTTCAAATGGTTTGTGACCAAAAAGAGATGACATGATTAGAGGAAAATTTAATACAGATGGTTTAAGAATTATCATGCATCTATATATAAATTCTACCTAACTAAACCTTAATTCACCTTCAACCACAAATTAAGCTACCTAATCCAACTCATATCCAATTAAGCTCTACATCCACTAGAATTTTCGTGTGCAACACCTAAAACCTAAAAGCTAAAAACTCCCGCCCCTTAAGCCCAGCCAAGCCAACTAATTTGCATACATTTTCAACTTCCCAACAAGTTCCAGGACAACTACTCCCCCAAAAACTAAAGCCCACGCTGCGGAGCACGAGGCAATTTAATAATCATGAAGCAATTTACACTGCACTTCACAGGAACTCCCAACTCCCTTTTTTGTGGGTGGAGTGTTTTTAATGAAATCATTGCCAGTGCTCGATAAAGCGTTAAAAAATCATTAGGTTGCTAATTAGGTTGACTAAAAATGCTCCAGTTACTTGCCGGCTAGAGCGTCACAAAGTTTCGAGTGAAGGACGAGAAGGGAGTACCCTCCAGCATCCTCATCCTGGCTTAACCGAAACTTTCCCATCCTGCCCCGGCAACTTTTGCGATGTTTTCTTTTTCTTAATTGCTGGCTGTAAAGTTTTCGTCAACAGCGATGAGAATTAAAAAAACAAGAATGTTTGAAATTAATTTTGCCAACATCGGGAAGGTAAACAAATAAATCACTTTAAGAACTATAATTAAATTTAATTTCATTGGCCAAACTTTTAATTTAAATCCATTTAGTTACTTTTTTGCTGTCGCTTGAGACAAAATGGCAAACCGAATTTAATTGCATTTTCCCGAAAGGGAAAAATTCATCGCCTCCGGGGTGGCAGACAGTAATTAGCATTTCCCGATCGACCTAATCAATCAGAGGAGGAGGAAGAGGCGGATAAAGAGGGCGTGGCTGCAGGTTAAATGCCAATAAACTTTCAGGCAAAAACAAAAACACACTAAAAACAAAAGAAACATGAAGAAAAAATAATGAAAAGCCAGCAGCAAAGTCAAGAGCGATAAACAAAGTAGAGCAAAAGCGTGGCAAGAGGCGTGGTCGGAGGAGGGCTATGGGGAGGCAATGAGTGGGTGTAGCAACTTTAGGGGCTCAAATTGTTTTCCCGTTGTTGCTGTGATTCTTATGGATGAATTTCTTTTGGCTTAGCTGCTGGGCAACCTATAAGATACAGATACTGGCTGTCAGCCAGGCCAAGAAGAACATGAAGTTGTTTTTGCCCTGTCTTTTGAGGGGCGTCGTGTTTTGGGGGGCGTGTCTCTAACAATTTTCAAGTTGATATCTTCAGCAAGTGGCCAAGTGTGTGCAGGAATTTGAGAAAAACAAACTCTAGACAAACAGAGCCAAGTAAGCGATTGCCAGGAAATAAAATGGCCAAGAAACGAAATTGGCCAAAAGGAGTGAGATGGCAAAAGGGCAGCCCAACTCCAGCTAACTGGGTAAACCAAAATGGAATTTGTAATTTAGAAGCTAAAAATATTCCACAAATATCTCAGGTGAGGTGTTAAAATGCAAACTTCACTTGAGAGTTAAAATTTGTTGACCAAAGTATAAGAATTTTTAACAATATGAACTTCTACCAACAATTTATGGTTTCGACCATTATTCTGTTTTTCTTTCCTGCCACCAACTTAAGATGCATATCGGTATTTTACCTGCCACACTTTGTAGCCACTTTTATGACAAATATAACCCTAAAAGAATACCAGAGCACACAATGTTGCCAGTTTCCTTACTCCCACATAAGCATACACACTGCCACGCCCACTTTACACCCTGAGGGTGGAGGGGGGTACCGCCACAAGGAACTTGTCTATATGTAGGATGTGGTAGTCCTCCTAGGAACTGGCCAAAGACAAATGGTTTGCCATTGAAGATGCGTTGCCATCATCGTCGGTGTCGTTGGCTCTTGTCTCTCTTGCCTCGTTAAAATCTGTGAAAAAATATGTCTGGCTTTCCGTTATACAGGGCGATATCTGTAGGGTTACAATATCCATTCTTTTTTCTTCTTTTTTCCTAGTGACACTCTGTTGTTATTGTTGGTGTTGGAGGCTTGTTAACAACACCAGGAGGTAGACACTTCCTGGGGCTGCCATGGTCCCTTTGCTTTTTACGCTGCAAGAAATAATTTTTGAGCTTTTAAGACTTTTAAAGGGTATATATGGCTTTTTAAATTAATAGAAATTAATCAAAAATAGTTTATGCTTGAGTTTTAAGAGTATATATATTTATTTAAAATATTTCCCAGTGTAAACTTAACGCATTTCCTTTCCGCATTGTCTTGAGCATCCTTTCCCAAATCGCGTGTTTTATCCACAAAACTACCCGTGGCATCCCTGTTCCATTAACATTCTTTTCTATATATATGGGTATATAGGTATATATTTTTTTGCACGTTTTCTGGGTTATAGGCCCCTTTTGTTTGTTAAGAAAAGAAGGCGCCGCTTTATGTCTGCTAAAATGTTTTTTTTTTTTTAGAGCTGCCCCCTCCGGCAGCTTAAGTTGAAATGTTTAATGCTAGTAAAGGCGGATGGCATAGAGAATAGAGCAGACAATATGCCACCATTGATGGTGATGATGGAGGAGCCTGAATAGCAAACAGGAAGGTGCCCCCAACTAAACGGAAGTTCTGGCCACCGAGGCAAACAAGTCATTCTGTGGCAGCTCTCTCGAACAACAAAAAAAAAATAAAGAAAAAGGGGCAAGTAACGGGCCTGGGAAAGTCATTCATGCAACTCAATTGTTATCGGTGGATGAGTCCACAGGTAGGGTTGGGATGAGTCCTGGGAAAAATATGGAATACTAATTCAAAGGATAAGGTTTTACAAGAAAAAGTTTTCTTGAAAAAGATATTAATTTTATCAAGAAATGATTTATGAATCATCTAAAAACATAATAGTTTAAGGACTTGGTAAAGAACTTCAATCTTCCAGATGAAATCCATCATAAATGGCATTGCAAAATCTCACTTACATACATCAGGCATCAGACTTTGTCAAGGGCCCAGTAAACTTTTAAGCCGAAAACTTTTGCAGAGGCGTCTTAAAGTGAATGCCTGGGCATTTCTATGGCAGCTTTGAAGTTGGACACACTTGTTGCCACAGCAGCGTAGTCAGGGGGTAAGTAGAGGTAGCGGTCGGAGGTCTCAAAGGAAAGGCCGAGTCACGTAGGTGGCAACAAATAACCGCCAGCTATAAACGACCCAAAAAAGAAGTATACGAAGGAATCCCTCAAATGGGCGCACATACGAATCCAGAAGTTCTCTCTCTCTTTTTTTTAAGGATTTTTAAAGGAATATTAAAACACTCT